TCTCTCTCCTTTTTTCTCTCCTGAAGTAGAGATTATAATTCCTGTTCCTGCGTGGCAGACTGCATGGTTCATAATGTATGCTGAAGAAGAAAAATAACTGGACTACAAAAGCATTTCCTGTGCAGCTTTCCAAGGCAGTTTAACAGTGTTGCTCATGATGAAGGAAAGACCAAATATTTCAAGGATTAGCAGGAGTTTTGCTTTGTGATAGTCAGCACTGGCTGGAGAAGTGTTGTGTCCTTCATCACATATCAATTGTTCTGTAGCAAACTGAATCCACAGTTGATACTTGAAAGCTGATTTTTCTTGCTCCGATACACTGGCCGTGCTTTTGTAACATACATTGATTCGTTCATTCATTCATCTATTTAGCAAATTTATATGGCTGCCTAGTTCATACACAGTGACATGCTAAACCATAGTTAAGAATGATGTGAACAAATCACAGCAAGACACAGCTCATGCATTCTCCCACCCTCTTTCTGATCCCTTTTCCTGGCGGTCCTCAGAGCAGTAGGAATGAAGAGAAGTCACTATTAGAAAGTTCATAATGGCAGTTTGTCAAATAATTGAATGCAGTAATGCACATAAGGGTCAATAAATGCTGCCCACGTCTTGCTTATTCTCTTCCAGGGAAACATCAATGAAAAATAACTCCCAAACACCAGAAGTACCAGAGTTCTGGAGAAAGAGGGAGTTTCTGCAAAGAATGGCTAGCTACATTGCATGCATACCATTTGGATTTAATAAATGTTTACTGCACTTAATTTAATGATTTCCAGATTCAGATGCTCCATGAATTATGAACAACATGTATGAGAATTAAAGAGTATTACAGGCTAAATGAAATATCTTTCTCTTTTTCTTGCATTCAGCACGGATGGATACTGTTTTGCAATGGTGGAAGAGGAAGAGTCTGGAGGACAGACTTTTACCACAGGCTGCATAGGCTTAGAAGGTTCTGACTTCCAGTGCCGAGTAAGATGATGTTGTGAACTCAATCTGAACTTTCAGAATCAGTCTGAATATTGTCAGGAATTAACATACCAATGTTCTACATTTCCTTTACAAGTCTTTTTATTTTCTGTAAAGAAGATAACATATGGGCCAAACTCTGAATATAATTGCCATTAATACAAACAGCAGAAATATCCTGTTGTGTTTGATCAATAATGCTAAGAAAGGGCTGGATCAGAATTGTTAGAGTAGTAACTGTTAAGAAAGCAGAGTATTGAATTTCCTACTTTGCTCTCTGTTACTGTTAAACGTATGTTTTTGATTGCTGGTTTCAAATGCTCATCCCATCCTTTCTCAAGATATAAAAAATTCCATTGTATTCTTTAAAACTTCTTAGTGAGGTGTTTAAGATTACAACCTTCATTTTATAGATCAAAGTAAAACATGAAATAGTCAGAAGTGGACCTGATCCAGTTGCTGTTGATGTCTTTTTGGCCCTGCATGTACTAGAGCTCCCTGTTTCCCTCTCCCCATTTCAAAAGATGCTAGAGAGTTATTTGTCCATCCCACCTGGAATGTTTACTCTGAGTGATAGAGGTGTTCCAGGCTTTGCAGCAGAGATAATTCACGTTGCTTTTCCCTTGATCTCAAATGCAAATGCCTTGTATACACTGTGTGTACAACACTGTATACTTCTTAAAGCTTGAAGACAAGATCCAGCAATAGTTAAAGATGCCTATAAGTACCAGGTTAAATAAGCTTGCTCAGAAAGATGACACAGGAAAATCAGAATCTATGTTTATCAACTGAGACAAAAATCATAGCAATAGGTCTTTAGCAAGTCAGATAGGCTTTCTTAACAAACCTAAAGACATCAAGGATTGTCCTGAACTACTTACATGCAAAACATCTGCTCTGCCACTGAACTATGGACTTTCTTCATTGGTAGCCCTTTCACAAGCTGAGAGCTATTCATAGCTATTGTGACCAGCAATTTTTCAGTTAAATTGGGGTTCATGGTACTTAATACATATGCAAATCCTTGTTTTTTGTTTTACTTTTTCTCATAAGTTAAATTATGAGATTAAACAAAAAGATCCAAAAGAGGCTTGGTAAAGATAAGCAACCTGAATTATAGATTACATCTATGTTGAAATAGTTGCACTCTTTTTTTTT